CAGTTTTATGTTTCTCTTGAAAAATCGGCACAACAATGCTCAATGGTTGTATTTGATCAGTTTCACGAGACCGTTTTTGGAAGTCTTGGATGAGTTTATTGTCGGATTGGTCAATAGTTTGTTCAATCTACATGTCACTGAATCGACGTGGAAGAAGCATACTACTGGTGCCATGCCAAAGTTGATCCTTGGTGGCTGTTGTCGCACGAGTACACAAGCCATTTTCGAATTACGAGTAGCGGTGGACAACTGGGAACAGAAGCAGGCAAAATATTGAACGTTCGGCAGTTTTATGTTTCTCTTGAAAAATCGGCACAACAATGCTCAATGGTTGTATTTGATCAGTTTCACGAGACCGTTTTTGGAAGTCTTGGATGAGTTTATTGTCGGATTGGTCAATAGTTTGTTCAATCTACATGTCACTGAATCGACGTGGAAGAAGCATACTACTGGTGCCATGCCAAAGTTGATCCTTGGTGGCTGTTGTCGCACGAGTACACAAGCCATTTTCGAATTACGAGTAGCGGTGGACAACTGGGAACAGAAGCAGGCAAAATATTGAACGTTCGGCAGTTTTATGTTTCTCTTGAAAAATCGGCACAACAATGCTCAATGGTTGTATTTGATCAGTTTCACGAGACCGTTTTTGGAAGTCTTGGATGAGTTTATTGTCGGATTGGTCAATAGTTTGTTCAATCTACATGTCACTGAATCGACGTGGAAGAAGCATACTACTGGTGCCATGCCAAAGTTGATCCTTGGTGGCTGTTGTCGCACGAGTACACAAGCCATTTGCGAATTACGAGTAGCGGTGGACAACTGGGAACAGAAGCAGGCGAAATATTGAACGTTCGATAGTTTTATGTTTCTCTTGAACAATCGGCACAACAATGCTCAATGGTTGTATTTGATCAGTTTCACGAGACCGTTTTTGGAAGTCTTGGATGAGTTTATTGTCGGATTGGTCAATAGTTTGTTCAATGTATTCAACGCAACGGTGTTTGTGGTCCATGTCCAAAAGGTGAGAGATGGTTTGGAAGTCTACATTCCTGAGGATAATCGCAATTGGACACAGATTCGACATGGTGGTATTAACAAGGATGCCATTCACCAAGTTGGACTATACAGTGCCTCACCAAACTTAGAGGATGATCGGGAAGTTTTTTTACGATTTCATGATTAAGGGTGAAAAGCGAAAACGAGAACATGGTTTTATTAACAAGGATGCGATTTACCAAGTCGGACTGTACAGTGCCTAATCTAACGTAGAGGATGGTCGGGAAGTTATCTTTGAAGATTTCATGACTAAGGGTGAAAAACGAAAACGAGAACATGCATACTTTTGAAAAGACATCGACTACGCACTCCAACTTTTCCGTCTTTACAATTGCCTCGTGAACTCACTGTACTGTACATAGTACTAGAGGAAGGAATACGAAAGAACGTGTTTTCCAGCGCTCATTCTTCTTCGTACCGGGACGGTGATGCTCATCGGCGTCTCCACGTGCTTTCCAGAAATCTGGTTAGTCAAAGTGCAACCGCCTGTATCTCTGACTCACCATGCGTAATCAGTCAGAAGGTCAAAATACCCTCTCGATTTACAGCTACTGTACCGTAGATAAAAATGGGGAGTGCAGTATGAGAACCAAGGGTCATTCCTCTATTTGAGATTGTAATATATAAAAGATAGTGTAGATAATAAGTGCAGTCAAATGCGAAGCAAAGGAGGTGGCAACGTCAGTTTCATTACGTATTCTCTAACGTAGACGGAAGAAAGCGGTCGAACCAATGGACTCAATAGTGACTCCATGAACGACGGTAGGGCGACCGTCATCTCAGTATTGCACCAGCAACCTAAGTCCGATCTACACATATCGAA